TTATAAAGAATTTTTGTTTAAATCTAATACAAAAGAATGTATATATTAATTATTAGAGGCAATGTAGTGCAAGTGCCTCGAGGACAGGGACAGTAGGGGACATTTAGTCTGCTTTTTAGTCTGTCATTTCGTTTTAAAGCACCTCAAAGTTCTTCTATAAGTTAATAAAAAATTAGAGTATGTTAGATATTAATCAAATAAACCAAACAATATTAATTTGCTAGCTAAAAACTTTTTTTTTTTAGCAAGGGACATAGATTTTACATTTTAAATGAAATGAGCCATATACCGTCGAGAATCTTAATACACTACAAGTAAGTTTGGCTCAGTGGTAAGACTCATGATTACTATGCACATGGTTCAGGGTTCGAGTCCAGCTTTGTAAAATGTTTTTTTTCTAAATTATAAAATTATTCTAATTTTATCTGAATATTACCTTAACATTACGTTAGTATTACCAAGTAATATTACGTTAATATTACGTTAATATTACAGTGTAATATTACGTTAATATTACCAAGTAATATTACGTTAATATTACAGTGTAATATTACCTTAATATTACCAGGTAATATTCTCTTAATATTAACAACGTAATATTACCTCCAGGCGGACATTTTGATATCCCAGTAAGATCACTGTAATTTTATAGTGTAATATGACGAATCTCCAATGTAATATTACAGTGATGTCAAGATAAGCTTACGTGCTGCTTGGGATTGTTCAATTTTTTTCAAATTTTTAGAAATATTTATTTCAATATCTTGATTAATTTTCCGCATTAAGACTGATTTTTAAACTTCGCCAAAATAAGAACCACCCTAAGAGTGACATATACTTATTCCACACTCTGTATAATATATAGTATGTAATATTTATATCTTTTATAATTGCTAAATTCTCATAATTGCAAGATATTTTAAGCTACAATTTTCTCTTACTGCAAACTGTCGTCATCAATTGCAAGAACTATAAATTCAGGAACCAGAAATGGAACAAAGAGGGCAAATATTTTTCATCTTGAAATAAAATGTTTAAGACGCTTTTAAATTTTTTACACGGAAAAAATGTTGGCCTCAGTTGCATTGTTGGTTCTACAATGCATACAATTATAAGAAAAGGCAAGAGATATGTATTTGTTCACAAAAACAGACTTTTAATCCCTTATTAAAAAACTAAATCCAACTAAAATTTCTCGAGAATGCACTATTAGTTTATTTGTTAAATATTAAGGGAAGGCAATTTCCAACTACATTATGGAATTGAATTGTGAATTTTACAAACATTTTTAGAGGGTTAACTTGAAAACTGTAAGAGTCATTATCACATAACTGGACAACCTATTCTGGAGTTTCAAAATCTTAATTTTATATTATCATGTTTTTATTAAAGAGTCTATGAAAAACCTTATAAATATTTGAATGGTAATAAAGTAAAAAAGAACATATATTTTATAACATATTTGTGTTAACGATATTTTACCCAAGCTATATTTATAAAAAATTATTATTATTTATTTATTTAAAATAAATTCGAATTTATTTGAAGCTCAAACCCTTGACTTGTACATCTCCACACATAACAAATCTTAGAGAAATTTACTTTTACAGTTTTCAAAGTTGAGCCCTTTTAAAAATTCCTGAATATCCGGATGTTGTGAGGGTAAAAAATGAATTTTAAAAACAAATTCCAGAAGAATAGTAAAAATTAAAGTTTAAAATCGACAATATTTTTCTGGGTTCAATATAATTTTTATGAAATTAGCAATTAATAATATCTTTTAATTTTTACGCAAAATAAAATAATTTTGGTGTATATTAAGAATAATTCAATGACATAGCTAAAACTAGAAATTGAAGCTCTCTTTGCAATTCTTCTAAACACTATTTAATTAAGGCACTTATTGAAACACATTTTACGTTATTTATAATAGTTGTGAGAAAAATATGCGACTGTCTAGATATAATAATAAAATTTATAATTACATTTCATTGCCTGTGCTTTTTATTGGTAAATTTTGAAAGACAAGCTGGTATCGTTTGCTGATATGTATTGTTCTTTTTTGTATTTTTATACTTTTGAATACTATTTTAAAATAATATTTGAGTATTTACATATTAAATGCACTTTTTTATTAAAATGAGAATAGTTTGATTAAAATCACGGAGAAAAGTTTGTCAATTCAAGAAGAATGCTTTTTAAACACAAATTTTTTTAAATTAAAAATTAGTTATAGAGGTTCTAACTATATGTATTTCATTTATTCTGCTTTTGGAGTGCACTCAGTGTTAAAACTGAGTTAATCCTGATTGGTTGTAAAATAATAAACTGTTTAACGATAAAACGATGTTAATGATTAAATTAATATTTGATTAATTAATCAAGTAATTTTAAATAGCATATATTATTATAGTTAGATTATAATTAACAGCAGTTCGCAAAAAATAGTGCTTGTAAACGCAAATAAGAAAGCGTATTTTTGAATTGACAAAGTCTTGTTTCATTGTTTTGAAAGTCATCTGTTTCTCCATTTTCGCACCAACAGTAAACTTTAAGTTTTACTCGATTCAAAATTTAGACCCTCCAGTCTGCTAAATAGTAAATCAAATGGGCACCTACCCAAAGAGAAATCGTCAATTAACTTGACATCAATTTTTACTATTATAATCAATGATCAAAATTTTTCATAAATTTGAGGTAAATTTGCCAATTTTTTAAAAGTGTTAATTACTTGCAGTAATTAATATTATAATATTTTATTAAATTAATTTACCTGTATATTAGATTTGGTGAAAGACAAAATTTCTAAATATGATAAAGTGTAATAGAAAAGTTGTGACGCTTCAGTGTGAAAAGGACCATACGCGACAAAAATTACTTCACTGAGAAAACTGGAGTATTGAACTAAACATCTGGAGGGACAAATCGTTCATATTTGAGAGTTAGCTATTGGATAACAATCTAAATGTTCAAATACACCATTGACAGATTCGTGCCATTTCTCTTGGAGGGAAAATGAGTTTATAACAGAGGGACAAATTAACCATCTTGAGAAATCCCTTCCTTATCCGGTGCGAAATGAATAAATATGGCAACCTAACCCCTAAATTAAATACATAAAATATGTCAGAAAAATAATTTCGCGCGCATCAGATCGTACACATTTTCTGCGCAACTTTTAACTCTCAGATAGAATGGGAGAGAATATACAAGTAGATTTCCATTATCAATTCAAAATTTATTTTAGAAGGACTATTTAACTCTCTTCATAAGCAAAGGAAACATACACTTTTTGAACCTCTGAATTTGACTCTTCAGTTTTCTCAGTGTTGGGAAATAAAAAATCTTCAAATGGAAATTTTAAAATTAAAAGTTTATAGAAAATTATCTTCAAAAATTTAATTTAGTACTGAAAAATATTATCGTCAAATCCAATCAGATATCAAATCTGCAATTAGAATTAAAGTATATTGTTTCCAATTACGCTACATGTTTTTTGTAAGCATCTTAATGGAAATTTCAGTTTCATACTACAAAACTACTATCACAGATTGTATTTATTTGTAAAATGTCAAAGAATAATTTTCTATAGTTAGCATTTTAAATTTTTCAATTGCCATTGCTAAAATAATAATATATGAATAATAATTTTGGTTTATGTGAAAGTAGTCCTCTAATGTCTATAACATGCCTCTAAAATGAAGATACAGGTGCAAAGTTGAATTAGATTAATTTTGAAAATTTCGAGCGTAAGAAGGTTCAAAAGAGAGTCTAAATTTTGACTCCGGTAATTTCGTAAATTATTATTCTATAAAGTAAACTAATTGACTATCGTATAAGACTATTCAAGTTCAGGTAACTTGCTGGCAGAAAATCGGAGTAACATTTAAATTTTAAAAATAGAAAAACTGAATGAACCATTTTTTGAGCAATAATTTTATTATTCGACGATTAATCAGATGTCGCCGAATTGTCGATGGAATGTCCGTGTCTATAATCACCCTTCTTAGAATGAATAGAAGACTAGTGACACTTCAAAAGATATGAGTATACAAATGTCCACCTTAACTATTTCGAGTAATACCTATACAGCTCCACTCTCACCTTGCAGGAACTTCATCCTTGTCACGCGCGTCCAATATTTCCACTTCTCACTAAAGATTTCCGGTTGTCGAATGCTAATCCCTTCTAATTTTGAATGAGAAGGGGTTGTTCACCCAAGAACAAACGGTCATTGCCTCTCAATACAAATTTATACTACACTTCATAAAACCAGAATATTTATTTCAATTTTCAGTTCATTTTATTTCATTACTTATTTAGTTGTTTCAAAAAATATCTGTTTATGAAATAAAACTAATTCTTAGAAAAGATAACCCAGTAAATAGTACATTACATTATAAGGGCAGAAAGTTCGAAATTCCTGCACTGCGCGAAATGATGCCCGAGGCGAAGCCGAGGGCATCATCGCGTAGTTTAGGGCTTTCGAATTTCTGCCCGTGTAATGTATACTATTTTTCTTTATATCCGGTCGAAAGTACGCTCGTTAATTTATGTTTTAAGAAAATTGCAACTGTATTTCACTTGACAGCCGGCCATCTTTATTTACTTTCGGCCCCGCTTCAACGCCTTTAGCGGACACTCGTGAAGCTCTGGTTTTTTCTCTGTCTCTCTCTTGCAAACAATATTCGCCTGCCCCGACATTTGATGCACGAGCGAAGCGAGTGCTTCTGGTCGGGGGCAGGCACGAAAAAAAATGTAAAAGATAAATTAATATTATACTTTTAAAAGAATTTTCCTGTTGGTACAAAATTAATTTTATGCTTCTAAAATTCTAAACGTTCTAATGAACACAATTTCATTATTTCTTCAAATTATTGAAATTTTATTATAACATTTTGGCACGTATTGAAAAAGAAATTAAAAAATTTTTAATTATTTTATTTTTGTTTTTAATGTTTATTAAAATAATTTTTGAAAATAATTATATCAGCAAAAGCTTTCGTTCATTTCAATATTCGGAGCTTGTGGATAATAAATTTATAAAGTATAAAAAGTTTTCTTGATAATTTTTTTTCTCATTTTATATTGCGATAACAATTACTCGTTAAATTGTCATTGAATTGGAAATTTTCTTATTTACCGACAGTGGTGTTTTTACCGACAGATAATTCTTTTACTCCCGCTGTAATAGAGGTTGGGTATGAAAATCAACCAAAGCACAAATGTTTGACTTTCTGCTGTGAAATCGCAGAGGGAAGTACGTACTTTCGACCGAGGTATGAAGAAAAAGTATTAGAACTCTCGGTTTTACTCACTGGCGTTGACACTCAACTAATGTAAAATCATAAAAATGACGAATGGGGTTGAATGCGTTAATCGCTCAAACTGAATACGTCGTCTGTTTTCACAAACTTATTAAGAAAGATTCATTGATTAATGCACAAATAATGATTGATTTTAACACTAAAAGACTGTAGAAAAGTGGAATCAATCAATGAATTTTTATCAATGAACTTGTGAAAACCGAAGACGCATTCACCATCCAACTAAAGCCGTAATTTTCATGATTTGGATGGATGCAAAGTCAATGAGTAAGACTCAGAGTTCCAATACTTTTTTTCTTACTGCGAATTTAATCTTAAGGAAAGAACAAATAATTTTAATTTTTGGGATTATTAATAATTTGAAATCCACTAGAAAATAGTTTTATCTGATTCAAATAAAAGTTTTCTTAGTTTATTACTTTTTTCAAAATCAAAATCATCCTCAACTTTTTTTATATAGCTAAATCAAAATCTTAAAATAACTTCTTTGACTGTCCCTATTTGAATGTTTAGAAAAGAGACAATTGAATTTCTAGATAAAGAGATCTTTAGATAAATTTAATACAAAACGGGAATGTTTACCTTGCGGGGTAAAATTATTATCATCATTGATATAAAACAAATTATCTTTCTTTGGTTTCATATACATATATATATGAATATAAGTCACCAAGAGAAAATCCTGGTAATCGTTTTGTCTCTGGGTTTTTAAATCATGTTTAATACTTTTCTGAACAAACTGGTCACGTGACAAGCTATATCCTAATACTCGTGACGAATCTTCATAAATGCAAGAAACTCCACCTGCTCAGATCGCACGTCCTTTGATTTCAGGGTCGCCAGATGTCCTCCCTCGGTCAACTGTAGAGAGCCTGAGAGCTTGGAGATTCTTTTCCGTTTTCCAGGGTCATCCCTGAAAATAATTGACTTGGAACCAAGAGTTTATTATCGTATCTCATCAGCGATTAGCGTAAACATTACTGCTGAGTATAATAATGTTGGTTCCTTTTTCGGGATCGTTACGTCCTCCGAGGAGGAGGGCGCACAGAAGGCGTCATATGCTTAGCGATGGTCTCTTTTTTCGGTCCTTGGTGGTATTTTTGCCGAATATTGTGCCCAATACCCTCGAAACCGAATGTACCCCGAGCTTTCTTCTTATAGGTAATGCACGCAGGAGTTGTACGGAACGAGCTTCCCTAAGGAGGGCTTGAAAGGCAAGGGCCGCACCTGCAGGACTCTCTGCGGCACTGACCTCGTAAAATTGACAGCCATGGGCCAAGGATAACTGTTGACCCTCGTCCACACACACCTCACTGAAACAAAAGAATTACAGAGCGTGTTTAACTATTTGGTACTTAAAATTTTCATTGCGGTGAGTTATTCGAATCTGAGGGTTTATTTCTTTTATTTTATTTTTTCTCAGGGAAAGCTCGAACATGGGAGATTAAACATGGTTTAATGACATGAGAGACATGGTCATTAAACAATGTGAAGAAAAGTTCTTCTCATCCTCTCACAGTACCCGAAAATCGAAAATTAAAGTTAATTAGTATGTTCTTCATAAATTTTTTGCTTGCGGAAGAAATTTCAGTTTCATTTTGGGGCTGAAAGTAAGTCGAAATGTACAGTTGGACTGTAGTTTTTCCAATATTGGATACCGACATATATATACAAGTAAAATTGCTTAGATATCTTGAAATTAACTATAGAAAATCAAATAAGTATTCAAATTTTTCCCTTTCATCCAAATTTTCAATACAATATTAAAATAATGTTTAGATCTTTTCTTTCCGAGTACCCGCTAAGTCATTACACGTTAACAAAAGCGTGCCTTTAAAATAAATTGGTTTTTAAGGGTAAAATTGAAAACTATTCGAAAAATAAAAACTGTGTTTGAGTGTGAAAATAACGATATTTGATTTTTGAACATTCCATTATCCAACTTCAAGTTCTGGCTTACACTAAACACGGTTAGAAAAAAATAGAAATTCGCATATAATAAAGCTTAAAAACTCCTCTTTGAATGTAGACTACGTAGATTATAAAATATTAAGCGGGTCAAAAAATATTAAAGGTTCTAAAAAGATCTGTACGTTCGACTAACGAACCATAATTCAGGCAAAACAGTCGCCCGATTATTATAAACGAGATTCTTTAAATAAAACTAAAATTTAAACAAACTTTATAGTTATTTTTTATTAAAAATTATTATTTTAAATTCAATTTAGTACAATTAACATTTAATAATTTTTCAAGATTATCTCAAATTTTGTATATTTTATTTTCAAATATATAACATTAGATGAGTCTTGGAACAATTCAACTTGAAAAAAACAACAGCTCCTGATATAAAGATATTAGGATCTGTTAACTTTTTTTATTAATTCTTTAAAAATATAAATGCAATTAAAGATCTTCATGTATTTACTTCCACAATTAACAGGCGGTTAATAAAGGCGAAATTGAAAGGGTGTATCTCAGCTACAGCAAAGGCTGAATGACGTCAATAATAAAAAATTACTAATTGTATGTAAGTCACAGATCTCTTTAAAATTAAAGAAATAAAGCAGAAAAAAGAATACCATAAAATTTTGGTAAGGCCTATGGTCCCGATGTTCAACCATACAACAATCCAAAACACACATCAAAGTTGTGTCTTTAAAACTTTCAGCTTGGAGAAAGGACAGATTTGAGTTCTATACCTTCTAGTACGAAGTACTATTCTGTTGACTTTTCTGCACTTGTAGAGTATTTTTAAATAGTTTGTTATTTTGAAGAAGAAAGTCCAAGTGACTATTGTCCTCTTTTTCTTTAACGTCTTGTCATTTCTTGAGAATGGACAGAAGGTATAACTTTTTTACATTAATTCCGATCTTAAATGATCGTGTTAAGGTATTAGAGTGGTTGCGCGAAATAGAATTAATACCAAGTGAGAGGCTTTGCAAAAAACACAAAAAATATGACTGTAGATGAATCGCGTTTAGTTTGCGGTTTATTTGTTTGTCAGAAATTCGGAAAATATAATCATAATTCTTTAGTTGCAATTGATACTTGGTTTGAGAATAGCCGCACATCTGCAGCGACAGTAATGCTGATAACTTATTGCTTTGCAATTAAGATGACGTTCATTTAAACAATTCGCGAAAGTTCCACGATAGAAAATCAAGCTGTATCAAGTGAAACTATATCTGATAGGTTTTCATATTGTCGGGAAGTGTGCATGCATGCTCTCGATATAGCTTTTCAAAAAGAAGGACAAATAGGTGGAGTTGGTGAAACAGTGGAAATCGATGAATGCAAAATTGGCCGTAGAAAATATGAACGTGGTCGTGTCGTTGAAGGATCTTGGATCCTAGGGATGATCCTTCGAGGGCATCCTAGCAAATATCGATTAGTGATTTGTCCCGATAATAAGAGAGACAAGGAAACTCTAATTGCGTTAATAAAAAAACACATTGCTCCTGGCACTCAGATACAGACTGATTGCTGGAAGGGATATGTAGATCTTGAAAGCCATGGCTACAAACACCTTACAGTCAATCATTCTGAAGAATTTGTCAATTCAGAAACCGGCGCGCACACGCAAAATATTGAATCGTCCTGGCGTTGGATGCGGATGAAATCTTTATCGCAGGGTGGAGTTCGAAAAGATAATTTCCCTGTCGAAAAAATTGGAACAAAGAGCGTTTAAATAGTGTTTTATAAAATGTTTATTCCATGTGAATTGCGTGTTTAAGAACACAATAAATGTGTTTGATGCGTGTATATTGGAACGTTTCAGTGTTTCATAAACACTTATTTCATTAGTCAGTGAACTTAATGTTCTCAAAACACTGTATGAACCCTGTTATGTATGTCAGAAAAGTGTTTAATGAGTGTTCTTACTGAATGTTGGAAATGTGTTTTAATAGTATTGTATGAACCATTTTCAAACTACGAATTCTATGCTTAAATTGTGTTCATACTGTGTGTAATCGTATAAGTGTGTTTCAAGATAGTGCATTCTGTGTTTAACTAGAATAAAACTATTTTCAAACACTTATTAAACCTTCTATTGTTGGTCACATTTTCGACAGGGTTAGCTGATCATTTGTGCGAGTTCATGTGGCGCCGTCGTGTACACAAATTAAACATTGATCCTTTTTTACAATTAATTAAAAATATTAAATTGTTATATCCTGGTAAAAAATAAATATGAAAAAGTTTAAAGGATTTAATAGAAATTATTAATATTAAAAAATGTGTAAACTGATAAAAATTGACAATTTGATTAATAAAATGGATATAAAAATACAAAAAAATAAAAATGAAATAAAAAATACAAAAGAAAGATTTAATAGAAATTATTAATATATTAAAAAATGTATAAACAGATAAAAATTGACAATTTGATTTAAAAAAATGCATATATAAATAAAAAAAAATACAAAATACAAAAAAAATATAAAATAAGATACACTGTAAAAAATGCCAGAGTAATTTTACACCGTCCGACGGTGGAAAAAAGTTACCACACCGTCCCACGTATTAATATAACCTAAATTATGTGTTATTTTATAACCTCAAAGTAAAAAAACCCGAGTCGTGTAAAATTACCAATGCGGAGTGTGAATTTGCCTGAATGTAACAAATTTCTATTTCTATTTTTTTCTTTTTATGAATAAAATGAAATACATTTTTACACAAAAATTAACTTTTATTAAATTTTATATTATTCTAATCAAATACACACTAAAAAAAAAGTTTTACTTTCAGCCTATTTTTGAGGCTGAATTTATGATGTAAACGGAGTCAGCCCCGTTAAACAAGGACAGACTTATGTGAAATACATGGGCTGAATTTAAGGTGTAAACGGAGTCAGACTTTTTTTTTTACTGTGTAATATACACTTTTTTTTACATAAAATTAACTTTCTAATTTCACATTATTCTAATAAAATTCTAATTTGAAAATGGAAAATAAACACAATTAGTTCATTTGAACGTACTAAACTTTGGAGAATCGACACTTTTTTTACATAAAATTGACTTTAAAATTTTATATTATTTCAATAAAATATAAATTTAAAAGTAGAAATAAATAAACAAAAATAAAAAGCGTAGGAATAAACTTTGGAGAAAATCCTTCCCATTTGTGTTCCAATCTGAAAATAAGAATTCTTTGCACTACAACCAACAACATGGAGTAAAAAAACCCACCACTGTTAAATTTATCGAGGTTATGTTAATTTACAATACGTTATTAATAAACCCTTCAAACGGGTGGTAACTTTTTTCCACCGTCGGACAGTGTAATTTTACACTTTCTTTCAAATGTCGTGAAATTTATGGGTGATTCTACAAAAGAGGGAATTTTGATGTCTGAAGCATGTTTTGTATATTAATTTTGGAAAGAATAATTTTACTTTTAATGGAAATTGTAAATCTTAATGGTTTCTATTATGGCACAGAAAAAAAACCGACGAAAAAAAATATTTTTTTGCAAAAAATACACATTATAGTGCTAAATTCTCATTCGTCTGGCATGTCCCTTTGGGAGAATGACAGTTCATATTGAGAATAAATATCACTTTTCAAATGTTTTGCGGAAATTTCATACTGAATTAGTAATTTTGAATAGTTGTAGATTACTAATATGGAAATAATTATGATGTTTCTCTATATCTTATTTATAAAATATCTTCGCGAAGTTTGTCCCCTGAATTTTTTATCATTCGTCTGGCAGTGCAAAAAATGTAAAAATTATTAAAAATCAACATTCTGATGAAGTGACTGTTCGTTGTAGTTGTTAATCAAACTAAACTAAATGTGATACCAATCGGGTTTTATTGAATCTTCTAATCTATTAACCAAGATGTCTCAATTTGTGACGGAGATTGTGTTGTGACCAGACAAATTCTCATTCGTCTGGTTCTCATTCGTCTGGCACTTTTGAGATAGGATGTATACTATATCACTAAAAATAGCGTAAAACTAACAATTTTCAACTATTGTTCGATTTTCTGGTCTCAAAATAATCCTAATTAAATTTGCAAGAAATTGCTATAACTGAATTTTCAATTTTCATTTCGCATAAATAATTATATTGACATAAACAAACAAATGGAATAAGTATTTTTTTATATGAATAAAGTTTAGCCCACTAAAATCAAAGTAGTTCTTTATTATTAGACACTTGAACTTACTTTTACAATTCTATGATTTGTGAAATTGTGCTTATAGAAACAAATAGACCATCCGTAATTTGTTATAAACAATTATTAATTAAATTACAACCAAAATTAATTAAACCGATGACTTTTATTGATCCTCGT